GTGGCAAAAAAAAAAAAAAAAACTAAACGTGTGAGGAAAATGATCATATAATGAATTCCTCTTTTATTAGTGAAAAGTGATATTTGATTATTGTGTTCTATGCATATCCGGTTTGGGAGTTTAGTGTCTGTTTCTGTCAGATTATGTAGTTCAGATTGTTTTTGAGTGGGAAGCCAAGATGGAGTGGTGTTTGATTACCAATAAATAAATATGGTGTTTTAATATGTTTAGAAAACAATGTGCTCTTTCCTCTTGGTAAAAAGTGAATTTCTCACAGGGATTTGAACGACTGGCTGATAATATCTGTCTGTCCTGTGAACATTTGCTGTTTTTCTAACATGTTTAATTACACACTGCTGTAACAGCAACAGATCTGACTGTATTACTTCTTGTCTGATTCATGTGGTCTGACTTGAGAAGTTAAAATTAAAGGATCTCAGATCGAATATAGAGTCACACTCCCCTCTAGTGGTCATAATAAAAACAGTCAGACTGTATTAAAATATATATATATATACTGCATATATCTGACCCTGGAACACAAAACCAGTCTTAAGTGTCCATTTTTCGAAATTGAAGTTTGTTAGGATAGGACAATATTTGAAAATCTGGAATCTGAGGGTGCAAAAACATCTAAATATTGAGAAAATCATCTTTAAAGTTGTTCAAATGAAGTTCTTAGCAATGCATATTACTAATCAAACATTAAGTTTTGATATATTTACGGTAGGACATTTACTAAATATCTTCATGGAACATGATCTTTACTTAATATCCTAATGATTTTTGGCATAAAAGAGAAATCTTTTTCAAATATTGCTACAAATATCCCCCAGCGACTTAACACTGCTTCTGTGCTGCAGGGACACATATATATAAATATAAATAAATCAGCTTTTGTTTAAACCATGATTTATGTTGTGATCTGAAAGCGTTAGATTGCTTCTGAAACACTTGGGTTCACTCTTTCTTTATTCAGGATGATTTGTAATCTTTATATTGATAACTATAGCACTGAGAGTGATAAATTATTATAAACGGCTGTACAAAGTTATATGAGTTTTGTCTATACTGAGATGTTTGATCAATAAAACCAACTGTGTTTTTGTGGTTATGTTTTGTATGAGGTGCTAAATATTTCATGCATTAATTATTATTATGATTATAGCTGGCACACAACACTGACAAACAAAGCAAGATTTGAAATGTAATGGACTATAACAAAGATATAAATCAAGACAGCACTAAAATAATAATGTTTCCCATCTTTCTACTTAGTCTTCTTTGAAGTATTTGTAAGCAAGCTTTGAAATATTCTCACAAAATCATGAAATATAGCAACGGAGGGTTTACATTTCTTCCGTTTGCATGTGTAAATGTATGTCTGCTATGTCAGAAATTCAATATATTCTCAAAAAACCAAGCTATAAATATTATGATTTTTCACCGAAAGCGAGTTGAAAACATCCAAACATATCAGCGCAGTAAATATTGTGTTCAAGAGTCACAAAGTGACATCTCTTCTGTAGAAATTCTATTTTTATCGAGTCTATTTCATCTTTGGGGCAGCAGGTTTGATCAGATCTCAGCATCACTGAAGCTGTAGCACTGAAATCACCAGCGTGCTTAAAAACGGTAAATTACTGTTATTACACCTCATAATTTACTGTAAAAAGTACTTCACTGGTTTGTTTTTTTAGCAATTTAATGTATCCTTGAATGAAAGTAATTTCTTAAAAACCACAATGACCCATACATCTGAACGGTACTGTAAATATAACAAAAGTCCTCATCATAAACACATAATAATCAACTTTATAATATTCAGTGAAGACGGTTAGACTACGTTTTGTTCGAATAGGTAGGAAACACTGGCTTAGTACATCAAAATAAAAAATGTATGTGCTCAAATTATGATCAAATTCAGTGATAATGATAAAAGGTTTTTTAATGAATGTTAAAAAAAAATTATAATTTTTTAAAATAATTATTTAAAATTTAATTTTTTTTTTTATATGTAAGCATTAAACCCGCAGACATTTTTTTAATTATTTATACAAAACTGATAGACAGATAGATAGCGGACTTTTCTCTGTGTTAAAGTTTGTGATATTGGCGTCGGACTGCTTTATTAAATCGCACTGGAGCCGCGTGTAATGACTGCACCTGGCCGCTGGGTGTCGCTGTCGCCGCAGGAATCAAGCGCTCAGGTGAGACGCATTTAACCTGGTGGCGGGAAACACGAACACGTGGTCGAGACGGAGCAGCGATTGATGAGTGAGCAGCAGCAGCAGCAGCACACAGATAGTCAGGGGACGCTTCATCCATGGTTTTATTCATTTATTAAGACACAGACTTGAAGCCGTCTTTGAAATGAAGAGATTGTAATGATCAGTTGAATTATTTAATTGATTTCACTGTCAGATTCACGCGGATCCTCTCTTCTGTTGTTTCTGGCGACCTGTCGCTCAGGTGTTTGTGAAGTCCTCGCGAGGAGCTCTGCTACAGTCCACGGGCGTCGTGACGTCATCACGCGAGGTCCCCGGCACAGGTCACAACAACTGATAATAATAGAAAGAAATGACGGATAGTGTGCTTATTTGCGCATAATGACTGCTTAGAGTACATGCAAGGTGTAGTCCGGTACAGATTACAGGATGAAAGGTAGTTAGTAAATTAATCTAGTTACTGGTTTAGTTAATGACCTCCCTAACTCCATCCCAGCAGCTGTTCTGTGCCTCTAACTGCCTCCAGTAGTGATTAGCATGCTTCTGACGTGATTAGCATGTATCTAGCATAATTAGCATGTTAGCATTTATCTAGCATGTAGTTAGCACTATTAGCATGTTTTACTATTAACATGCTAACATATTGTTAATCGTGTTTCTAGCATGATTAGCATATCGTTAACATGTTGCTAGCATGTATATAAAATAATTAGCATGTTTCTAACATATGCATGCTGCTAACATGTTTTTTAGCACGATGCTAGCATGTATCTAGCATAATTAGCACGTTAGCATTTATCTAGCATGATTAGCATGTAGTTAGCAAGTCTGCCACAAGAAAAACTATGCAGCTAATTGATTTCTGAGTGTGTAAATTAGTTTTCAGTTCACACGCTTATGTTCCGTCTCCATTTATAGATGTTGCAAACTGCTGTCGATCCTATGGAAACGGATTTAATTCGTTTTTTGTGCATATTGTGTGTCGTAAACGACTGATGAAACCAGTTTAAATGTTAGTCAGAACTGCATGTCTGTTAGGGGTGTCAATTTTTTTTCGAATTTTGAATATTTGTCGAATTTAAAATAAAAATGCACATTCGAATTTTAGGTGTGCGTTACGGAGGCAGCTTATCAGCGGCGCACGAGATGACGATGCGAGTGTCGTAGCATTATAATGTGTTTCTTAGCTTATCCAGTTGAAGCCACTAGATGGCGCTGCTGTGTTCATTACAAATATTGCGGGAAAAGAGAACATCAATGCGGAGAAGATCTTGTTTACGTCAAAACCGAAACCTAGCCGTTCACACAGAACACGTATCTCGCGCACTTTCTAGAGGGACATCTATCAGCGTTGCACTCGCGTCTCGCACAAAACAGCCGCATGTTTAGAAAAAACATATCTCAAGACTTATAGCGGGTTTTCCCGTCCCACTGCATCTCGTGTTTTTAAATGAGAAATGTCCTCTGTGTGATTGGCTTTCGGCTCTTTGTATTAAACTATGCATACACGCATAATGCTGTTTTGTTTATAGTTGTTTAAGCAACTTAATTATAATTGGTTTATAAACACAATTTTAAACATTATGCACTTTTTTTCCACGGATAGTCATGTTGTCTTATGCTTTGAATAAACGTGCATTAGTAATATTTTGCTCGATGCGCCCTCTTGTGGCCTCAGGAGAGAAGACAAAAGCTTTTCTTCACCCTAACTGAAATTATGCCTTTTAAATTTGAATATAATTCGAATATTGATCATTTTTAAGTAGAAAATTCGAATTTAGTTTTTCAGCCATTTTGACAGCCCTAATGTTTTAGTTTTCTAGTGAAAATGTCTAAAATTCCTTAAAATAAGACCAATTTATGATATGTGCAAACATCAGAGAATATATAAATGTTTTATATTAACTTTGTTTTAAGCTAATGCTTTTTTTTAACTAGATGCCAACTCTGCTATTGCCACATGAAAAACTGTAATGATTTTCAAAGAGTTAGTTTATTTTTCTCAGTTTATTTAAACGTACAGAAGAGGTTTTTAACAAATGTTCATTTTGAGTTTTTGTTCAGTATCAGGCTAATTTTATAAATTATCTTTAACCCAGGGTTATTATAGTTATATATCTACAACTAAAGCTATATAAAAAAAAAACATTTGTTGCTTAAATAAAATAATTGCTTAAAATACAAAAAAAATGTATAATAATTCCGCTACTTCCCAAGGCAATAGTTCTAATTTTTAATTTCTTGATGTGCTAATATAACTAAAACTGAAATAAAAATATTTTAAAACTACAGAAATTAATTTAAAAAAAAATGACAAAATCACAACACACTTACTAAAACTTTAACATAAATGCAGGAAATATACAAAGAAAAATTAACAAGCAGACGATATCAAAATTAAAGCCAATTCAAAATATTAAATTAACATGAAAATCAGAAAAATAAAAATAAAATCTAATATTAACAAAAATCTCAATGATGCTAAAATAACACTAGTTTAACTGGGTGTCAGTTTTTTAAAAGTAACTTGTTTTCTTTCTATTTTCACTAAACGACTCTTCTGAAACCAAATGTGTCAGCAAAACATTTTTTTTATTAATAAGATCAAATTACATGTATATGATAAACACTATACATGAGATAAACAATAAACATTTGTGAATATGACATTTTGACAGCTAAACATATTATTTTTGCAAAGCTAATGTTTGGGTTTAGCAATGAGTGCTCGCTGACGGCTGTGTTTTGTGCTGTAGCTGGTGTGTGTGAGAGTGTGTGATGCAGCCGGAGCAGATGCTGGAGGCTCCAGGGTTCAGGCAGAGGCTGCTGGAGGCGTTGAGTCGAGGCAGACGTCAGAAGTACTGCCTCCCTCTCATGCATGTGCCACCCGCATCCTTCTGCAGAGGAGAGGAGGACAGCGAGCTGCTCTCTTTCGTCACAGCCTCCTCCCTCACTCTGCTCTCCTCCTTCTCCTCATCATCATCCTCAGAGAGCGAAAGCACGTCGAGCGGCCGCTCGCGCAGACGCAGACCGTGGAGCCGTCATGGCGTGAGAGAGCTGCTCATCATGGGCAATCAGGACGGAAAGCTGAAGCGCTTGGAAGCAGGAGGCGCGGCGGATGAGAGCGCGACTCACGACGGCACAAAGAAAGGGAAGAAATCACGAGGGGAGGGAGGGAAGAAGAAAAACAAATCCGACAGATCCTCGGTGTTCCCTCACATACGCAAGCGCAAGAACCAGAGCAAGGCTAAATTAAGCTTCCCGAGCGGATCCAAAGAGGATGCATCGCTGGATGAACTGGACAGCGCTCCATCGCTGTGCAATAAGACGCCCGATCTCTCCGGAGATGAGCTCGGACATTCGGACGCCGAGCCCGAGCATCCTCGTCTGCAGGAGGAGGAGAAGAAGGTGGCGAGCTCCGGATCCGACACGGATATGTACAGCTTCCACTCGGCCGCGGAGCAGGAGGATTTGCTGGCTGACATCCAGCAGGCCATCCGTCTGAAGCAGGGCGTGATGCTCGAGATTCCCTGGGATTGTAAACAAACCCGAAACACTCCCACCCCCGACTCGGAGCCCTTCACCGTGCTGGAAGCCATTCCTAAGCCAGAAAACGTGCTTGTTAGTGCACCGCGCCTCCCTGAGGACGAGGAGGAGACGGCTGTGAATGGACACTTTGTTGCCCTTTGTGTTCCGGTCGCCGTGGAAACGGTCACAAAAGAGCCTGAGGCCCCCCCTCCTCCTCCTCCTCCTCCTCCAGTGGTTGCTACAGCAACCAGCACCACCAGCTTCCCCGACCTCACTGCTTCATTTGAAAGTGCCATGGAGGCCATCGAAGATGATGATCCTGACGTTCCCAGCATGGATACGGTGTCTGACGCCGACGGGCTCGGGTCCACGGGCTCACTGGAGTGTCTCACCATCATCGAGCCGCCCGAAGAGCCTGCCACGTTCATCCAGAGGCGCAAGAGCAGCGTGACGCCCCCGCAGGAGAGTCCTGTAGCCACGCGGCTGCTGAAGCCTGCGGTCAAGCCGTACCCGCCCATCAACACGTCCTACATCAAAACCACCACGCGGCAGCTGAGCTCGCCCTCCTGCTCGCCCGCGCCGTCGCCAGCCCACAGCCCGCTCTTCACACGCGCTCGGGCCAAGAGGAGACGTGTCACGCGCCAGCGCTCCTACAGCATCACCGGCCCCATCAGCCGCTCCGCAGACTGGACTGAGCAGCTCCGCACACTCCCACCGAAAGCTGCCGGGTCGGCTGACTCGCTGGAGTACGGCGGCTCGGAGGGGACGCTCAGGACACAGCGGGCGTCTGCGACCCAGGCCTCCACCTGCAGCAGCTTCCAGGAGGTTTTCACGGGTGAGTTCTGCACTCCTTCTAAACTACTGGGAATGTCATTATACATGCAACTTTTATGATGGAGCGTTTGTACTTTTAAAAAGTTATTGATGTGTTATATGCACTGAAGTTGCATCTCTAAATTCTTCCCATTTCATGCATCATTGCTAAAAATAGTTTTTTTCCTGATATATTAAACACAAAGTAACAAAAAGCAATGCATTTGTTACAGTCAAGCTTATTATAGTTAACTAAACTGAAACTGATACCATTAAAAAAAATACTTTCGTTACTTGAAATAAAATAAACAATAACTAAAATAATATAAATATATGTATATATTTATATTCTAAATTAAAATGAGGAACGTTTGCCTTGGTGAATAACTGAAATAAGTTTTTATATTGGCTGTATAAACTTATTTCAGTTATTCACCGAGGCAACGCTCCTCGTTTTAATTTAGTTTAACTTGATGTACTGAAATAAACTAAAACGGAAGTAAAAATTGTATAGTCGTGTATATAAAATCACAAAAACACACTTTAACTAAAATTAAAATAAAAACAGAATATAAAAACGGATTCAAAATATCAATGATGCTAAAGTAACACTGCTTGTAGTATTTATTAATCTTTATTAATGTTAGTTAATAAAAACAAAGCAACTGTTCATTGTAAGTTCACGTTAACTCGGTTCTATTAATATTTATGATCAGATTTAACTTTTGATTTTAATAATGTACATGTAAGTGCAAGTTAACATTAAGGTTAATAAATGATTTAGAAGTATTTTTTGTTGTTAGTTCATGTTAACTAGCTAGTTGATCGCACTAATCTGGATGACTAGTTCTCACCAGTCACTAGAATGCAGTATACACTTCGCAAAATGTTCTGTTTGCGTGGAAATCTGGACGATATAAGCACACTTGCACTGGACACAGTATCCCACAATGCAATGTGCTCGATCTTCTAATTCCGGTGTGATTTAATCAAACTAAATCAGTCACAATGAATCCACAAATTCCAAAGTAACCATATTTATTTGTTATGCCACTGACTGAGTTAAACATGCACTCTAATAAGGTCATGTGACAACAATGTAGCACACAAGTGTTTGAAATGCTCTTTTATAAAGCGGAGCGTTCCGGTGCTTGACTCTGATTGGCTGAGCCACGTTCGAAGCTGTTGTAAATGACGCTACAAAGTAACACACACCTTTGTTTACGTTTGTGTGTTGCTCGGCAACCACTTTGTAGCAACCACAACTGTTTCTGAGGAGCTACATTGTTTGGTGGAAGAATACTGTGTTTATTAATATCACTACACTTTATTTGCTCCGTTTTATTTTGTGGAACCTTACTACGTATATAACCGTTTTATAAAAGCAGTAATCCCCGTGAAGCCGTGGTTTACAGTGAATTTATAACATTCATAACTGTTATAAATTCACTGTAAACTATAGCTTCACGGGGCTTTTTGCATTATTTTGCTTTTTTTCAATATGCATTCATTTAAGTGGTAGGCAGTATGTACAGTGCAGTTTGCAGTGCATTAGAGTCTGTCCTGTAGAGAGGCATTATGGGATGTCTGGAGGTGTTGTCATGTGTCTGGGCAGTGAAGGGAAGCATGCGGAGTTTGATCGAGTCACACACTGACACCAAAACCAGCGCAGAGCGAAGCAGAAGCAGCGTGTGAGAGATGCAGATAGACCGGACCGTCGGTGAAAGAGAGGCTGCGCTGTCTGTTGTTTTGGCCGTGGACTGAATATATTCTCTCTCTCCGTCTGTGTTGTGCTGGCAGAGCTCTTTGTGTTAGTGACTGATGAACAGCTCTGGATCTGAATGAATCCTGAAGAACTTTACTAATGATATGAAACCGCTTGATTTACATGCAATCTGTTAGCAGTGGTGTCGATGGCTTAATCGGACGGAAAAGCCTTCATGTGATCACTGCAGTTGATCCGATTGAGCCCACTTCGATTTCATTTGAGTACCTGAAATAATCCAATCAACAAGAAAAAATAGAGAACGTAAACACTGCACGGTTTTCTTAATTGGACTGGATTTTAAAAAATCCCTTTTTTGCACATGTGCAGTGATGCATGTTTACATATGTTTTATGTCTTACGCACGTGTTTATTTACGTCTCATTTCTTATGAACTGGTCAGTGCAGGAGACTGAATATATACTAAATATTTGTTAAAAAACTCTTCTGACTTATACGTCAGCTTTATTTTTAGATATCCCATCTTTGCAAAAATGGCACTTATGTGTTATATCTGCCAAAAATATATAAAAGCTAATTGTATTTTTTTTTTTTCTCTCAATTCTACGTTTTTCTCCCAGAATTGTGAGATTTACTTTATACCTCCTCAATTCAGTTTTTTTTTTTCTGCAAGATAATGTGTTTATCTCTCAACACTGACTTTTTTTCCTCCGAACTGAGATATGAACTCCGTATTGAACTGTAGTTTCAGCTCTGAAGCAGTTCTGCAGAAGCCAGTAGCGTCTTGGTTCAGGGAAGTCACGAGTTAAAGATCTCTGTTCTCCAGAGCAGATGGCGTGGTGTGATCAGGCCCTTTAGTGACGTCACATGCTCGCTCTCGGCCAATCAGAGCGATGGCAGATTGCTGTAGCTCTGAGCACTCGTTACTGTACGGACTTCTGCGGATCGATGAGGAACGTTAGAGACGGTCATGTGACTCTGTGCTCGTCATTCTCTAGATAATCAGCAGAGGAACTTCAAGCCACATTTATTTCTATAGCGCTTCATACAATCCAGATTCTGTCAAAGCAGCTTCACATACTAATATAGTTATTATTAATATGTTGAATTAATTGAGTTTATATTTGCCATTTTAATTAGTTCAAATTTAGTATTTTTCACTGTTGTTTTTTGTATGTTTATATAGTTATGAATTTGTTTGTTATTTTTGTGCATCAAATTAAAATGAGATGTTGTGTTTTATTTCAGCAGTTTTTTTTATTTTTTATGGTTTTAGTTGACTGTAATAACCCTTCACAATTCTGCACAATTTTTAAATTTTTTTTTTAAATAAGCATAATGATCTGCAATATTTGCCCGCTGGTTATTCATCCTGAAAAGTTTTTTTTAATTTGGCGTTTGTGACGAGCCTCTACAAGCGTTCATGCCTGCGGTTGCCAGATTTCAAGAGTTTTAAATCGGAGCTTTTTTGCCTTAGTTTCTTCATCAGACAAACCGGCCTTTTGATTGATTGATTTAAAAGAACCCGCTCAAAAGAATCATTCAGATCAGACTGTGATCTCACATAAAGCATTGCTTCTTTTGCTCTAGATTCAGTAGAGACTCATGCATCATTTAGTAGTTCCAGTGTTTTTAAGAAATGGATTGTCACTGATTCCTGTTGCTCCAGCATGACGTCACTGTGTTTCAGATGCATTTTCTTCTGCTAAACTCATTCGATTTCCAGTATCTGCCTAATAAAGCCAGTGCAGATGTATTAAAACCAACATTTAATAACGTTCATCTGTACAGATGTGTTGATTGATTGAGTTTAATGGGCAGAACTACATCTCCCATGATGCACCTCACCTTGTTTCTCATTGGCTGTCTGACAGCATGTTTAAACACTCTGTGGTCTTATTGACATGCTAATGAAGTTAATGAGCTGTTGATGATCAGGCCTGTAAACTCAGGACACTGTGTGTGTGTGTGTGTGTGTGTGAGAGAGAGAGAGTGTGTGTCACATGATATTACAGCGAGCTGAAGGTTCAGGCAGGATCTTATGCAAATATTGCGATGACAGGAGCGTGCCGTGATCATGTGACTAATGATTTATATTTTCACTGAGTTTAATGTGAGTGTGGAGACGGTGAGAAGATGAAACACTGCAGCAGTGACTCATTCACAATCACGCACACACTCGTTAATTGGGTTACTAATTAAAATCACCAGCTGTTTCAAAACCAAACATGTTGCTCAGGTTTTGAAACGCAGCCATTAGATTCACATACTGTTTGGAATGAAAATACTAGTGTAATGTACTGCATATACTGTATACTTCTTTCTTTTTAATGTGTATATAAAACAGCACTAACATACTAAATTCTTGTCACATGACCTCATTAATTTGAGCACGTCCAGTTGTCATCTGTGAGTGATTAAAATGGTTGTTTGGCATTTTAAGTCCAGTTTCGTTGTACAAAAGGTAAATGAAATGATAGGAGTATTATATGCTAGTGATCGACAGCTTAATCAACCAATGTTTGGTCATTATGGTTATTTAGTTTTTCAATTGATTTTGTACATTTCAAAATGCTAAAAATTGTGAAGTGTCTCATTTGAGTATTCTAGGCATTATAGAAGTGGTCTTGCTCTGAAAAACCCGTGTTGCTTGATGACTACTCTCTGCATACAGAACGTTCTCAGAACATGCGCAGGCTTTTTGCACCGCGATCCAGGAGGTCATAAAAGAACCCAGAACAACATCTAAAGAACAGCAGGCCTCACTTGCCTCAATTAAGGTCAGTGTTCATGATTCAACAATAAGAAACTGCTTCAGAGAGACGTACAGCAGCAGCGGACAGATCACACCCAAGTTTGACGTGAGTCCTGTTAGTCTTCACTTTCACTGTTAATGTGCCTTTCCTGCGGCGTCGGATCAGTGCAGCAGCAGAGAGCGTTAGCCTTTGCTTCGGTTACATTTAATTCTGAAGTTAAGGAATATGAACACACTTGAGGTCGTCTTGTTCTTACTGGCTGAGGCTGGCATCATGTGATCTGCTGCTCGTTTGTGATTGGTTCTTACTGTGCCAGAAATGGCTCCGCATCATCCTTTGGTTCCCCAGAAGCTGTAAGAGTCAGATAACGGAAGCTGCTGTGATGCACCTGCAGAAAGGAACAATTATCATCACTCACCTGCCTTTGTCGCTCTAAACCCGTCTTCAGCGCAGCACAAACAGGATTGCTCTCGGTTTGTTCTGAATATGCCGGCTGAGATTCGTGAGCTCGAGGTCACAGGTCATCAAATGACTGATGAACCACCGCATGATTGAGATTTACTATATTTACTTTATTATACAGATGTTTATACACAAGTTGGACTATTTTTGCTTTGCCTGTTAATTCAGTTAGTTGCCCAACGTTTGTGTGTGTGTTTAGTGGCTAATATAATATCTAGAGAAAATGACACACAAAATAGTGTATATTTTTGCCTTTTTTTTATATATACAGTAAGTATTCAGACCCCCTTAAATTTTTCACTCTTTGTTGTATTGCAGCCATTTGCTAAAATCATTTAAGTTAATTTTTTGTCCTCATTAATGTACACACAGCACCCCATATTGACAGAAAAACACAGAATTGTTGACATTTTTGCAGATTTATTAAAAAAGAAAACCTGAAATATCACATGGTCCTAAGTATTCAGACCCTTTGCTCAGTATTTAGTAGAAGCACCCTTTTGATCTAATACAGCCATGAGTCTTTTTGGGAAAGATGCAACAAGTTTTTCACACCTGGATTTGGGGATCCTCTGCCATTCCTCCTTGCAGATCCTCTCTGGGAGATGGGAGAAAGTTGTAGAAAGTCAACCATCACTGCAGCCCTCCACCAGTCGGGGCTTTATGGCAGAGTGGCCCGATGGAAGCCTCTCCTCAGTGCAAGACACATGAAAGCCCGCATGGAGTTGTGAGATGGTGAGAAATAAGATTCTCTGGTCTGATGAGGCCAAGATAGAACTTTTTGGCCTTAATTCTAAGCGGTATGTGTGGAGAAAACCAGGCACTGCTCATCACCTGTCCAATACAGTCCCAACAGTGAAGCATGGTGGTGGCAGCATCATGCTGTGGGGGTGTTTTTCAGCTGCAGGGACAGGACGACTGGTTGCAATTGAGGGAAAGATGAATGCGGCCAAGTACAGGGTTATCCTGGACGAAAACTTTCTCCAGAGTGCTCAGGACCTCAGACTGGGCTGAAGGTTTACCTTCCAACAAGACAATGACCCTAAGTACACAGCTAAAATAACGAAGGAGTGGCTTCACAACAACTCTGTGACTGTTCTTGAATGGCCCAGCCAGAGCCCTGACTTAAACTCAATTGAGCATCTCTGGAGAGACCTAAAAATGGCTGTCCACCAACGTTTACTATCCAACCTGACAGAACTGGAGAGGCTCTGCAAGGAGGAATGGCAGAGGATTCCCAAATCCAGGTGTGAAAAACTTGTTGCCTCTTTCCCAAAAAGACTCATGGCTGTATTCGATCAAAAGGGTGCTTCTACTAAATACTGAGCAAAGGGTCTGAATACTTAGGACCATGTGATATTTCAGTTTTTCTTTTTTAATAAATCTGCAAAAATGTCAACAATTCTGTGTTTTTCTGTCATTATGGGGTGCTGTGTGTACATTAATGAGGAAAAAAATTTACTTAAATGATTTTAGCAAATGGCTGCAATATAACAAAGAGTGAAAAATTTAAGGGGGTCTGAATACTTTCCGTACCCACTGTGTGTATATATATATATAATGTATATATAAAAACCTGCACTCAAATGAATAAATGGTCATAAAATTAAGATTTGAATTGCATAAAATTTCTATTCATTTGGGTTCAAATAATTTAATTTCGCTAATTAAAAATAAATTAAAAAAAAGCTAATGGACTGAATGTGATGCATATTTATCAGTCATACTTAAAAGGGGTCAGATACTAAATGCACAGTTATAATCAGGTTTATCATCAATAAATGCAAATAATTGTCTTATTGTTGGATTTACAATTGTAATTAAATTGCTTGTTGCACAGCTAACCATTTAAAATTTATAATGGTCTGAATACTTTCCGTACCCACTGTGTGTATATATATATATAATGTATATATAAAAACCTGCACTCAAATGAATAAATGGTCATAAAATTAAGATTTGAATTGCATAAAATTTCTATTCATTTGGGTTCAAATAATTTAATTTCGCTAATTAAAAATAAATTAAAAAAAAGCTAATGGACTGAATGTGATGCATATTTATCAGTCATACTTAAAAGGGGTCAGATACTAAATGCACAGTTATAATCAGGTTTATCATCAATAAATGCATTGTATTCACCGTGAACATGATTTTACGCTATATGAATAAATGCATTGTATAAATAAAATCAAACAGGTGCGAATAGTTTATAAACTAAAAAAAGCTCACTGGTTTTATGCATGACTGACAAATAAATGGAAGTTTTACTGTTTGCATAAGTTTTAATTTTAGGCCTATATGTGTCCCTGCAGCACAAGAGCAGTGTTAAGTCGCTGGGGG